CCCCCCCGAATACGCCAGTGTTCTGATCTGATTCATTCTTCAAAAAAGTGTTGTAGAACTTCTGGAGATACCCGGGCCAGGAGAGGCTGAAAGAGAACGGGAGGCCTGAAATTCTCTGTATGTTAACATATGCAGTTTGTTTGCCGCTGTTGGCCTAATTTTCACAAAAAATTGATGAGTCCCTCAATGGAAAGTGATCACGTGTTACAGCTATATATCAGGCGCTCCAGTTCGCATTGTAGTATCATTTTGGTCATCCAAAAAATTTTTTTGTAGCCTCCGCGACCACGATTTCACAGCAATCAAGATTTTACAGTACTGCAGTTTCTGCACTCCGCTTGCAGCACCCAACACTCAAAACGGGGATTCTCAGCAAACCCCTCAAAGTTTACGTCTAGAACTAGGCCTCGATGATTTTTTTGGAGGAATGAGACGATCACTTACAGCTTTCTTCAGTGCAATCGACCAGCGGGGCTGGCGTAAGTTCGGTGAACCAACCATCGCGAAATTTGTTCATCCCGGAAGATCGTACAACAACCGAACAGCTAGCCAAATCCTAAATGGGTGAAAGTTTTTTAGAAATACAAAGTCACGAAGTTATGCGACCAGCAGGTATGCGATGTGCCTCTTTGTTTGCGAAAACTGTTTCATAACTGCCACTAAAAGTGCGGCATCTTCAAAAGTCCTATAAAACCACACAGTGACGAAGTCCGGTCACTGTGCTGAATGAAACAGTTTATGTCTTAATGGACCGAAACGTCTTATCTCACTCCTGTCTTCCTCTCTCTTATCGCGCCTTTGCCATTTAGGCTTTTCCAAGGTCAACCTGGTTGCTACAAATCGGCTTGTAAAAACATCCCCTCATTCCTGGCAGCACTTAGTCTGGAATGCTGCAGCAAGAAGTCGCCAGAATGCACGTGGAAAAACATACCAAAGTCAGAAGTCAAAATCCCCTCTGTCTTCCCCCCTTTTTTCACGATAGCTGCCTGATAATTTCGTGTGGGGGACCGTGGCAATATCTTTTAAGAAAACCGGCAAAAGCATAACGGAATCCAGCCTGATGACTTTGTAAAGATCGCGATATTGCTTTAAAAAAAAGCCTTATAAGAACCTCTAGGCCCGCCAAAAGGCCTTCTGGACGCTTCTAGAAACACAAGTGAAAGTCATAAATCGAAAGTCTCTTCGGTATTTGCTCTCCATGAGAAGAGACGAGGAGCAGTCCGAGTGGTCGAAAGTTGTCAAACTATTCGTTCGCTGCCGACAGCTCCCTCTTTCGAGAGTTGCTTACAAGCAAGCCAATGGCGGGTTTAACGTACCCCTGACGAGAATCAATTTGTTCCAAATATTAACAACTCCCATAAACCGGTCCACCACATTCGAACAGTCCGGGACAGCATTGGAAATTCCGCCTCAGTCGATTGGTCAGCTCTGAAATATTTCGCCAGCCCACTCAATCTCTGTCACAAATCGGAGCATATTTCGCGGCCCCCTCAATCTCAGATTCTCTTCAAAAACCACAGTGTAAAAGAAGAGCGAATGACAGAGATTGAGAAGGCAACGGAAATACAGCGCATTCTTGGGCAGAGATTGAGAGGGCTTCGCTTCGGCTCAACAACATAGTTTTTGAGGAGGAATAGAGATTGAGAGGGCAATGGAAATACGGTGCGGTTGGTGGTAAAGATTGAGAGGGCATCAAGCTATTACTGTCAAAAATTCCACTTCAATGAAACGATAGCATGCTTTCATCTCAGCTTGGCAGTGCGCTTGGCGCTCACGGTACTTGTGTGGACAAGATGGAAACGAAGGGTCAGCACCGACCATCAGGACGAGGCACTGATTAAAACAACTAACGAAGTTGCCAACTGAACATCTTCGAGTTCGTTTGTGCTAGCGCGGTGAACATCCCGAACAAGCATCCATCTCAGTGTCCATGTGCAGGGATACTAGCTCGTTTTTCTTTTGGTTGTCGAGGTGGATTTGAGTTTTTGCTCGCAATAATTCGCAACGATCTTAATCGTTATCTCGGAATCGATTGGACGCATTCAGCTGCTGAATCGGAGAACCAAGCCATGTATATTCACTGTTATTCTCCAGGTACCAGCAGTGCGTGAAATGAATTTCAAAATTAAAATAAAGAAATGTTTTTTACCGCATTCTTTATTTTTACCGCAAAAAGTGACTGAGTAGAAAATATAGAAAGTGATAAATCAATACAATGATAAATACAAAAACAGTAATAAAAGCGACGTGGATAGCAGCAATGGTAATGACAGCAACGATTAATGATAACAATACAACGGAACAGCTGATCGTTTCAACTACCGTTGAACAATGAACAGAAATTAAGTAAGCAGAGAGCTTCTATAAAAGTAGCAATTACGCTGACAACAGTGTCACTGTTGATGATAACAACAGTAGCGGTGCTGACAAGTACTGCGACTTGTTGCCAGTGTTTTGTCTCAGCATTTAGAAAGCCAAGAAAACTGAAATTCGTTGCAGAAATACTTATGTGTCTTTCGAACGTCTTTAAAGACGTAAAATCAGTTTACTCGTGTTCCTTTCGCGAACGGCTTCACTTGTGCATTTTTACTGCCAGCTTTGCAGCACAGAAAGGTCACAATGAAGTTATTAATGAAGCCAGAAGACTGGCTTAAACAACTGTACAGGACCATGTGCATGAATGAAGCCCAAAATAGAAGAAATGGAGAAGTTGCCAGCTGCAACAGGGGGAGGAAGAAGCGCGGCAGTAACAGAGCAGCTTATCAAACTACAAAGTTTTTGTAAGATACTAATTACCCAAAAAAAAAGAAATCCCTGCAGCGGCAGATTCGAGAGATAATGTGGCACAGCGTTTTGCGCGATTAGGTATGGTGATAAAATTGCTGCTGTTTTATCATCATCAGGAGAAGGCAACGTAATTTAAGCTATTTCGAAATGATTTATTTGAAGATTTTAATAGATTTTTCGATTTTTGATTCGAC